GAGAAAATGATATCCTTTCGAATTAATTCAAGGATCTTCGGGCTTTCATTTTCAGGTATTTTCGTCACGAGTTTTGAGAGTTGATTCATCCTTCGTTCTTTTCGATGTTTTAGGTGGATCAATCTCTCCTCTCTCTCACCTCATTTTTGTTCCTTTTTTCCTTACTTCTTGGTTCGATTTTTGATGCTTATGTCCGATACATAAGTGTCCACGTATAGCCTTTTGTTATACGTGAAACCATCAAGCAAGGTTGCAAGTAGGTCGGTTTTGTTTTGGGGCTTAGGGCGGTGATGACAAAGGCACACCGGAGATAGAACAGAATGATATGTCATCCTATGACATCGGGATTCGATTCAGGAACCCATCAGGATCCGATTCAGGAACCCGGTGAGCTGTAGAATGACAATATCATTCACCGACACAATACTAGTGGGGGTTGACCCGAACCTTCTTAGGTTGTTGGTAGTCTTATGCCCGACAGCGCGATCGACTCGTGGACAACTACTTTTCAAAATTGATAAAAACAAATTTGATAAGAATGGATACACTTTTTAAAAAAAAACAAAAATACATTTTTCACTACAAACAAAATTGATACAGCCCACTTTTTGCATGTTTGAAGTCTATATGCATGCTAAAAATATAAATTTTAAATATATTTCAAACATCGGTTGATCACCTGTTTAGGCTGAGGAGTACTCTCCTGAGTTAGGTTTGATAGAACACTCTTCTAGCTGAGTAGGGGGTTTTATACATCCGGGTGACCAGTAGCCTTCGACGACCCTCGAGTACTAATATATAATTGAGTCTAGCCCGGACCCGAGTGCTTGTTGTCCCATTCTTTTCGGAATTTTTCATATGATTTTCTTCGAATTTTTGAACAAAGCACTCGTGGTCTCTTTTCGGGATTTTCCCGTGTTTTCTAGGATTTGTCGATTCGCCGATTTCCTCACATTTCTCTTGTCATGAGTCTTTTGACGATCTTTCTCGAGATTTCTGGACGACGTTTCTTTGTTTTCGTTCATATAAAGCATTTCAGCTTGTTTCCTCAAATTTTGTTATTTGTACCTGTTGCATCAATTACAACTAAGAAACAACGGATCTCCCAAGTATACAGGTTTGTTTTACATTTACAGCATGTTACTTTCTTGCAAATCACCTACCTGCTGTATTCTTTTTACTTTTCCTTTACACCGCATTTTGTACTGTTTTTTTTACTGCATATTCTATTGTTTGTACCAGTGCTACATACCCTACTGTTATGCTATACACTTTACAACTTCAACATGTTATCCATAAAATATTTGAAGAACAGCAACCATAGGGCCGTTGGATTTGATATTATAACCTGACACCTTAGAAAACTCAAACTCGTCATGACAAAGAGCTTGGAACTAGCGCGGTGGGCGGTGGGCAGCACAACCATCTTCAACAACAGAACATGTCTTCCCCAGCTAAATCATTCATTTCCTATAAATTAAAACAACAATTCATAGGAATTCGAAGTTGTTCGCCTAGCGCAACATAAATCCGCAACCTTTTTGTTAGGCATTTGTATAGCTCTGCTATACGATCTAAGCCCTAACTCTTTTTAGGATTCTAAGGTTGTCGTTCGTTACGAACTAAATCCTCACATCTTTCAAGCTATTTGTGTGATCGTTTCACACGAATGCAAGCCCTAAATAAATAAAATTGGCAGGATAAAACACTTGAATATTTCTCCTCAAAATTGAAGCCAAACCATAGGGTAAACTGGGAAGCCACTGAGGATCTCCTCTGGATCTGTGGCATCCTCTAGCTCTTCCTCCTTTGGATTCTACAATAAATGTTCCAAGTTTGAACCATTCCCTTTTGCATACCTCTTTGTCCGATTTTGTTGAAAAGTTCTATCATTTTGAAGTCCTTGAAGATAATTTTTCCTGATTTTTATCGAGAGTATTCTTAAGTGACTTCGGTCATTTAAGATTTAATTAACTATAGGGGCTTGCCCTTATAGGAAGTTTTTCCGAACCCAGCTTAAAATAAACCCTATTTAAATTTTCATATTAAATAGGGGAATTTATCGGCAAATAAAACGGTTTCGCAGACCAAACGGACTTCATGTATTTCTTAGTTTATTTGATAGAGTCTCATCCTCAAGTCTTGTGTTTATCCCTCGGGATAGATACAGGGTTTCAGGTAAAGCGCTCTTTCATTTAAACTATGAAAAATATGGGGTCAGTTTGATTTTCATATTTGATTTTAAACTTAAATCTATATATAAATTAAAGCGTCCTTCCGAAGCTGGAGACGGAATTTCTATTCCGGTGACCGACAGCTTCTTACGGGCAACTCTCCCCCAAACCACAAACACCGCCAACTTTTTATCGCCGACAGGGAGCTTCAACTTTAACTGTCCTAGAGAAGTCATTACAGTTATCACTATTCCTATATGGATAGTCTCTTCTACCTCCGCTTAAAAAATTAGGTTGTCTTCTATAGAGTTGGTCTTTTGGCTCTAAGTAGGAATCATTATCATTTAATGGAGCAACATGAATTTGGATCGGTTGTATCGTAGGATATCTACTATTGTGAAGATGATAAAGATAATTTGTATTTGATCTTTTAATTCTTGCATTTGTGCTTTATTCACCTCAAATATTTACTTTTAATTTTTTCATAAATCCTAAGATCTAATGAATCAACCATTTGGGTTAGGTTCTCAATCTGATCTTAGAAAATAAACTTTGGTGCTATGATATGATTTTATTATTATTTTTGTTATGATGGAAAAAAAAGAGAGAAAAAAGTTATAGACGGGAAATAATGACTTTAAAATAGAGATGCAAAACAAAATGAATTTTATGCTTTAAGAATTTTCAGATGATGAGGGGGATGCAAAGAACTCTAGCGTCCCAAGCTCTCCATGGATAGCTCAGGTCCTTTAGACAAAGTTCTGTTTAGTTTCAAACACACCAAATTTTATACACATTTCTATGCAAGATTTTTTTTTTCATAAAATCAAAAAATAGATATACTCAGATCTAAAAGGCTCAAGTCCTTAAGATTGCAATGCTATCGAAGTTTTGATAAATAAACAGCTAGCATTCTCACAAATAGTAAACCTAAAATATAAAGAAAGTGACATAAAATTTTGATTACATCAAGGGATTGTCTTATTTTATTCAAGTGTTGCATTCCCCTACCAAGGTTTTCACTCAAGATAATTTTTAAGGATAGGTTCACATAGAGGATATTAGCTAGGCTTTATAGAGAAGCTTGCTAATTGGATTTCATCCTAGCAACATAGCCTTGCAAGTAATATACATAATAATCCAGTTATTCATAATAAAATAACTCTATCATAAAAAGAATATAATAACCTCAAACTTGCTGGAATTACTCTCAAGTATTTGGAAGCAAATCCACCCAAAGAAATCATTCTTAGTTGTCCAAAAGTTTGACCGATTCAGCTCTCTCCCAAATTCGCTCTGGTACCAAATATGATGGTGACGAGTGACCTTTTGATGAGATTAAAGGATAGTAACGGGCTTGATTCTTTAGTCTAACATCTAAACAAGAGTTTAGGAGATTTTGATATAATTCTAATGGGTCTAGCATGTTATAGTGATTAGAATGTCTAGACTAGTCTATATTGGTTTAGTTTGGACTGATTTTGAAGATTTATTTAGTAAAGTGATTTAAAATTGGATAAATGGCTGAAATTCTTATGAGTAGTTGCCTTAGAATGTGGAGTTATAATCTGGAATGGATGGTCAAATTTGAAGGAGTTTATGTGGGTGTTAATGGATAGATAACAAGACTAAATTCTATTCTTATCTAACTTGACGAAGAGCTTCTAAGTGGATCTTTAGAGTGGTTTCAAGGGTTGGATTGAGTAGAGGATGGTATATTAGGATTCTAAGGGTATTGAGAGGATATTAATAAGGTTGGGGATAGGAGTTAAGAAAATAATAAATTAAAAAAAACTACCTAATCCCACTAAAGAAGAGGCATACACTTGAAGTCTTGAATGGGCACTTGCTTGGGCACTTGCTTGGACTCTTGTAATTATTCTTTTAGCTTGATTTTCTTGATTCATATGATGTGTTACATCAATTGAAGAGTGAAGGAGTTTCTACTAGCAGCAGCAAATATTACCAGAATGCTAATCTAGCTATAGATTAGGAGTAGATGAAGATTGGTTCACTGCCAAACCATATAGAAATACTTATCCAAATTGCTCTTTAGCTTAGGTTATTTTAATCGTTCACAAAAAAGCTTCACCTAATGTTGAACACAATTGAACACTCATGTGTTTTCTTTTATAGGTCGGGTTTGTTGTTCACTAGATCTTGAGCGCTTACATTGCGTGGTTCTATGTTTCATTATTTGATTAATTTATTCATTTATAGTATTATTTTCTTGTGTGTGGATTTGAGTTAGGAATAACTTCAAAGAAATTCTACAAGTGCATGTCCACACTTAATTCACAACCATCACCCCACCTCCCGTCTTTGTTCTGCCTAGGCTCTACAAAAAAAAAAAAAAACACCCACAATTAAAGAGAATCTCTCCAGCACATATCTTAGAGATGATATTTCTCCCGTATCTACCATTCTCTTGCCAAATTAACTATTTGCCCTCCATCAAAACAACTATAAATAACTCGAAATGGAGAAAAAATTCCTTCTAAAACCCTTTCATCACTTAGAGAAAGCATTGTGGAAACATTTTCATACTTTCTTTAACTGACTTGAAAATCTCTTCAAGGCACTAACATCTTTCTTTGGCATTGCTTTTGCATAAAGTGAGTGATCGTTGTGAACAACATATCCCAAGGAATTCTTATCAATTTCAAATTGATACCAACATACATCACTAAATACGAATCAAAGCCACACCTAAGAAATCACCCCACAGAAATCACCCCACAAAAAAAAAAAAATAAATAAAGTAAAGTAGAAAACCATGTTTACAACATGAATAACATGCATGTTAAACGCAAAAGGAAGTAAAACCTGAATCCTGAAGAATATACGAATGGTATTGGTTGATAAAGATTCATATGCCCATTTTCACGAGAATGGGATTGGCCATCCTCAATGAAACCAGGATGGTCATTCCCGAGAGAAGGAAGATAGCCATCTTCACGAGGAGGTGAAGCAACATTCATGCTCTCTTGTAAAGCTCTGGCAAGTTGCTCATCTTCTTCCAAGTGAGACCCAGTATCTAAAATTAACAGAAAGGACTAAAAAGTGGTCATTCATACAAAATCTTCGCATGCAATTAATTTGAGGAACTTAAGAAAAGATACCACAATAGAACTTGACCGGAATGATACCTGACCAAAATGGTTTAGCAGAGTAAAAAAGCCACCAAAATATATATTAATATATTAAAAGCCTCATTTTAAAACCAGAGAGTTACTGAATGTCAACTTTAGATAAATTTATGACTTTACATTATGGGTTAATGATAACAACTTACAACCTTAAAAGTTGTATTTTGCATTAATATATCAGAAGGGTGCAGAAGTGTACAAAAGTATTCCAAAGGAATTTCCAAAATGTGACCTTTTACATCACAAAAAAAGGTAACGAAAGAATAATTAATCCTAGATTATAGTAATATTACAGACATATTACTTACCAATTTCCTTTGCCTTATTCTGTTCTTCTTCTAAAAGGGAGAGTGCAATAGCACGATCTATATCTTCACTATCAAAATCTGAAAGGGCATCCTGAAACAAAAAACATGAAAATAAAAATAAATAAAATGAAGCGCTGATGAAACTCAAATGACTGATCCCAGAATAACGTGAAAGGTGGTTTAATGGTCAATGTAAGAATTGAAGAGCATCCATTGTCATCATTTTTTTAAATTGAGATTTAAACATCTAAAATTATCATCACAAAGCTCATGAGACACAAATATGAACATAACATAGATACAACAATGCAGCATAACTCTACAAGATCGTAAATGATACGTTATGAATTAAATGTTAAATTTTATAAATTACTAATATTAAATATGTATTTCCTAGTATTTTCTACCACAGATATCACCCGATGAAGCATAATATCAAATATATATACTTTGCAAAAAGCGCATAACAATAGGAAAAGAAAACAAACACAATTAATGATAAAAAAATATATATTACTACATATAAGAATTGTCATTTATTAACAATACACCAATAGAAGCATTCACTAATCAATATCAGTTGTCATTTAATTTTGTCAAATATCAAGACTGCTTACAAAATATCAAAATCCCAAGAATACATAAATATCAATGTCATCTTCAAAATATTTAAATAAAATATGACTATATGTGCATATTAATGATGCCCAATCAATAGGAGTTAACACAGTTTAAAATAATTGGAGATAATCAATTGATTATTTCATTCAAAATTTATGCAGTATTACGATCCAAGGAGAGCTTCCAATAAAAAACAAACAATATTTGGGAATAATAATTACAAAATGATTATAATCATCATCAGTTTGATGAATTGGCAAAGGACATCCTGTAAATTGATGTGGTGGCAAGGAAGAGGGAGAAAAGAGAGCGAAGTCGTGGTGAGCCTAGCTAGCAAAAAGTTATGGAAGAGTCTCACACTCCAAAAATGAATAAAAGAGTATCATCCATTCCAAACTTCCTGATAATTTTTGAAAAACTGCACTTAATAGTCCTTTAACGAAAATGTCAGTAAAAACTTATAATTACAAACAAAGTATAAATTAGACCACACTCAAGTTTCTCTTTATAAAATGTCTATCAACTTTAATATGCTTTGTACAATCATATTACGCAAGATTATGCTCAACATTGATAGTTGACTTACTATCACAATAGCCTCAAAAGACCTTTCCATTCAAACTTTTATATCTTCCAAAATAACTTCTACCCATAGTAATTAATAGAATCCTAGTGTCATAGATCAAAATTCAGCTTCTGCGTTAAATTTTACTTATATTTTTCATTGCCCCAACTCATTAGATTAGCTCCCAAGAATATTGAATATCCTAAAGTTGGTCTCCTATTAAACATAGAACCCGCATAATGGGTATTTGTGTCTTCTTCAAGAGTTAAATCTCACCCCATTTTGAATAAAATGTATATCCAAGATTCCACTCAAACATTACAAAATTCTATATTTTTTTCTCTCTAAGGTGTGATTCTCTATGATTATGCAAGAATGAGCTCACCATACCAATAGAATTAACAAATCAAAACTAGTAGCTTAAAAGTACATACCTCCACCCATTAATGTCTAACAAAAAATAATAAGAAAAAGATATAACATTAAAAAGGTTGTCTGAACCAAAATTCACATGAAATTGTCAGTACCTATCATAATAATTTCATCAAAATAAACCAGTGGTGCATATAAACCCGTGAGTCATGCTTTCATAAATATAATATGATCTCATTTATTTTGGTGGTATCTACGTTGAACATTAGCTTAGCAGCAATTTCAAACAAGCCCTTAAAGATTTTTTCAACTCATACAACACTTTTTTTAAACATTCCCTTTATTTCGTATTTAAGTTAGATCCCAGTGAGATCTCCTGACGCGGGTATCATTGAGGAGTTGGACCGGCAGGTCCCCATGGAGGAGGCCCAAGCGCCCCCTCCTACTCTTCTTTTCCTTTTCCTCCCCTCCTCGTCTTTCATTTTTCTTTCTTTCCTTTCGCGCCTCACTAAACCTTTCCTAATTCTACAACATTTCCTAAAAATCAAAATTTCATTTTATTCTCATTCTAAATTTAAAACCCTTACATTAAATCTGAACTCGGATTTTATTTTCTTCCCTATTTTAAAAGACTTGCCTAAATTTTGAAATCTGATATTATTCATTTCCTATTTTAATGTTTTCGAAAATTGAATCAAGTCATTTATAAATAGGAGTTCTTGCGTCAAGGGTAAAAAATTTTAGTTTTTCAATTTTGAATTCAATTTTATCTGAGTGTTTTTCTCACTTGAGGTCTGTATCCGACGACGATGAAGGTGCTCCAGCTGTAACCCCATCATCCCCATCATTTCGACTCTGTCCAAAACTCTGACAAGCCCCCTCCGCCCCTCCTTCCTCTCATCTCCCACTGGCAGCTCCCCTGTCGACCGCCTACCACAAGATCGTTCCCTACCCTCCTACAGCACACTGCACCAGCTTCTTCTTGCAGCCAGCAAGTTCCCGCTTCTGCTGGCCCGTGATTCCTGTTGATGTCCCTGTCTTCCAGCAGGTCGTAGCTCTTTGGTTTGCCTTCCAGACAATTGTCGCCTTTCCTTCCGGCAAGCCAACAACTTCCAGTCCATTGTCACCTTCATCACAGCAGATAGCCACCTTCCATCCGACAATCTCAACGCCTCCCACCACTACAGCTAGCCTTTCTGCAGCCAACTGCCCCTTTGCTTCTCGGCTTCCGCCGCCCTCCTTCCTCCCTGTCCCCTGCCCCCGCAAGCCACATCTTCCCTGCTCCCGCAGGCATTGTGCGTCCACCTTGCCCCCGCAGGCCACATCTTCATGCCTCCTGTAGGCCACCAACTGCTGCCTCTCCGAATTCCAACCTTTGACGACGCTTTCGACCTCGTCTAACTGTTGTTCAACGCCTCTTTGTTGTCCTACTCCCTCACCGGCCTTCACTGCAGCCGCCAACCCAGCACCACCTCTCCAGACTTCCTCCTTGTCGAGCTTGTTGTGTGCTTATGTGTTGTTTTTCTTGTAAAGTTTTACTTTATGTTTGATTTGTGCAATGTCTTTCTTTCTTTTGGGTCACCATTGAAACCGTATTTTTCAAACTACTAATAAGATTCTTGTGTTGTGGTTAAGGTTAACTCCGACATTCATTGGTATCAGAGCTAGCCCAATCCTAGTCTATCCTAGGATTATCTAGCACTCTGCCTCCCAAACCAAAAAAAAAAAAAAAAAACTCCCCATTCTTTCTTTTCCCTTCTCTTATTGTTTTCTGTCTCACCCCTCGCTTGTTGTCTCTCCGTCATCTCTTCCTTTGACCACTTCTTTGCCTCCACTCTCCTTAACTCGTCCTCCCTGAACCATCAACTATGCCCCCAGAAGAAACATACTGGATACCAACCGGGATGCACTATAGCGTGAAATCCGCCGTCTACAATAACAATTAGCAAGAACGATGACGAGACCCAAGGCGAGGTCACGCTAGATCGTGATCTAGAAAGTCGACATAAAGACAGGGATGATGATCAAATCCATTCCACTTGAAAGATGTAAGCGATGAAGAATACCGTCCACGTCGTTTTGGTGTCCATACCCGAGGAGACCACGAGAAGAACCCCGAAACCAACGCGACTTCGACATTAAAATAGATCTCCCCGAATTTGATGGTGGTATGGATCCAGATGAATTCCTTGATTGGCTGCAAGCACTCGAATGAACTTTCAAATACAAGGAGTTACCTGAAGGTAAGTGTGTTAAACTAGCAGGTATTAAACGGAAAAAACAAGCCTCGTTATGGTGGAACAACCTACAACATCAGTGAATGAGGGACGATAGTGACAAAATCACAAAATGGGACAAAATGAAGAAAGCGCTGCTACGGAAATACTCGTCATCACACTACCATCAAGATATGTTCCTGAAGCTCCACAACCTACAGAAGAGAGAGATGTCTGTAGAGGAATTCACAGCCAAATTCAATCAATAAAAAATAAGTGTGACTTTGTCGAACAAGAGGAGCATATCATCGCACGCTACCTTGGAGGCCTGAAGCCCGCCATTAGCAATATAGTTCAACTAAAATCATATTGATTGCTAAGTGGCGTCTAAACCTTAACCGTGAAAGTTAAAAGGCAATAGAAGCAAACCAGACCACAATCTTCCTTCAGATAGCGATCCCTGTATAAACCAACCCAACAACAACAACTACTGACAAAGGCTCACTAGGAAAGGGGAAACCAATATCCGAGAATGCAAAAACTGATCCAACCAGCAAGAAACCCAAGAAAGGTAGCTCATATCAAGGTCAATGCCAATCATAAAGTGTTTTAGATGTCATGATTTTGGCCACATCGCCTTTAGCTGCCCCACAAACCAAATAGACTTTTTCACAGATCAAGGTGTCATGGAGGAAAACGAGGATGAAGAGACGGAAGAAACTACAGAAGAATCACTTCAGCTCCTAGAGAAAGAAGGCAAATTACTAGTCATACAACAAATCTTATAATCAGAACCAGCACGAGACCAGTCATGGTATGACGCAGCATCTTTCGTACAAAGTGTACATTTAAAGAGAAAGTTTTCAGCTTGATAATCGATAGCAGCATATGTGAAAATGTCGTATCAACACTAATGGTGACAAAGTTAGAATTACCCATGCAAAAATACCTCCAACCATATTCCCTCATTTGGCTGAAAAAAAAGAATGAAATTCGCGTGGATCAACAATGCCTTGTTGAGTTCTCGATAGACAACCAATCAAAGGAACGAGTATGGTATGACATCGTTCCCATGGACATATGCCAAATTTTATTAGGACGACCTTGGCAATACTACCACAAAGCTCAACATTACGGGTTTAAAAACACATACTCCTTCAAGAAAGATGGCAAACACATCGTATTACTACCAAGACGTCAGAGGAGCCAATGACACCATAGAAACAATCGTTTCAAGAGCCACATTCATGCAGTCATTTTGAGAAGCACCGATGGCACTAGCTCTAGTACTACTCGAGGGGTTCGAGAAAGGAAACG